CTACAAGAAAGGTCTGATGCAATTTTCTCGTAAGTCCAACGGTTTGGGAGTAATTAAGGAAAAACGAAATTTTTTGCCAAAAGTTCGCCATTTCGACGCTGGGATGGTCGGATTTCGTCAACATCAATAAAATGCCATATAATCATATGTAACTCGTTAAATATCGAAGTTAGAAGGAAAACAACTTTTATTTGAAGCATTTTTCGCAATTTTGAAAAAAATACTTTTTCGTCAGCGTCAATACTTAATTGGATATTTCCTTCCATGCTTTGTAGTACGTAGCTATTTATTATTAGCATTATTCTTCCGACGTCTGATTTCTTTTTAATTATAGGAAATGCGTTTTTCTAAGCGTTTTTTGGGATTGACTGTATACTAGTATAGCCAGTACATCCTTAAATATCTTGAACTTTGAACTAATACTAAGTTTGAGAACATAGTGATACAATGATAGAATAGAATAATTCTTATAGCAGTATTTGAATTCGATTACAATGCTAATTAAAATTCGAACTAAAATCCTAGTTAAAAGCTTGCTACCTTGCAGTTTATCACAAGGTATTTGTATTTGAAGCCTGTTATTTTGAGACGAAGAAAAATTCTTATATTTTCAATTTGATTGCACAGATTTTTATTTTCAAATTTAAGCTAGAGATTGGGTAGCTGTACTTTCATTGGCATAGATTTCGACGTTTTACTTTGTCTTCCGATCACCTTTTATTTGGCACCACGTAAACTTACCGCATAGGGTGCATCAGAAACACAGTTGGATAATAGTACCTATTACGGTTAATCCGTTCGGAAACAGTCATTTAAGTGATCCTCTTTCCAAAAAAGATCCAAGATATCGCGCTTCGTAAATACGGTACAATTCATTATGCTTACAAAGCAAGTCATCGAGGCGTAACATCTCGAACCAATGTTGCCCATTTACATCTCCGTCCTCGTTATGTTTAGCTTGTCATTTTTTCGCAGTCGTTGCGACTTTTTGTCAGAGAACAAAACATGTATATGCAGAGCAAGGTAATCAAGTTATAACGGAATCTCTCGAGTGTGTGAAAGTAAAATGTTTCATTGGGAAAAGATGATGTTCAATGGACTTGGGAAGGTGGGTGTTGGCAGATGGAAACTCCATAGACTACGCTGGTGGGCCGTGTTTAGGAGGGCGACGACGGCTGTGCGCAAAAACGGCGGCAGCCAAGTTCAAGGCCACCGACTACCTTCCTTTCCCTCCTCGTCAGCTAAACGGCCGCCGCCGCCGCCGCCATAGCCACGGCCGCAGCCACCGCCCCCGCCACCCACCTACTCTCACCCGAACCATCGCACGTAGCACGCATAACGCCAGTACCCAGTACCGTATCAACTTAAGCTTGAACGTCCGACCATTGCGTTAGGGAGAGTTTTCGGGCTCGATCGATCTACCTTGCTCCTAGGAAAATTCAATTGGCCCATACATAACGTAGCCTCATACGCGCCTTCGTCCCTTATCTCCCGATCCCTCGAGCGAGTATCTTCGATTGACGTTCACTTCTATTTTGGTTGCATTCGGAATTCGGGAAGATCAGGGCTAGTAAAAAGACTCGCTCGAAAGTCTCGTTATAGCGCCGAGTTAATGACCGATTTATCGTGGTCACAATAATATATACCGTCTACAATAATAGTGTTCTATAAATAATATTTGCTCATCGATAATTACAGTTCGATTACGGTAATTCCGCGAGGTTCATGCGGTAAAAGTGCTCCAATGGGGCAATTTCGCCTGAAAAATTTCTCTGATATTTTATTAATGGCCTGTGCTCCTTGATGATCATTTCTTTATCTCGCAATTAATATATTTTTAGGATTTCCGCATGCCGACTTCAATTTTAACATGAAAAACGTTCACAACTTCAATAATTTTTGAGTTACACTTTGCGTAACGATTAATCGATGAAGATATTGATCCGACTTGAATGTATTGCCAAAAAATTGGCCAGCAACGAAGTAATTAGCGTAAGAAACGTGTATTAGCGAGTTTCGCGGCGCCTGGCATTAGAATCGACTACCTTTGCATGTTAGTGTTACCGTATCTTCTGAATTGCCGCCAGTCGTGCACAAAGATGCCAGATTGAGGACGGGAGTCACCAAGAATCAGCCCCTCCACTTACGCGCACTATCGCACCTTATCCATGTGCGTCGAGCTCGGGTCAGTAGAGAGAGAAGGTAAAACATCAGTCCGTCGCACTTGCTCCTGATGCGTTAAAGTTTAAAAGGAGTAGGAGCAACAGCAACGGACTGATATTTCGCCTTCTCTTTCTATTGAGCCGAAGTTGAGCCGAGCTCGAAGCACATGGATACGGTGCGATAGTGTGCGTAAGTGGAGGGGCTGATTCTCGGTGACTCCCGTCCTCAATCTGGCATCTTTGGTCGTGCACGGCTCGTCGCGCCGTCAACGTCGTGTCGGGGTTTAGTTTGAACGTTCGCACGCGCGTACTCATGTTCTCTGCGAGTATTCGAACTCTCAGCATCGCGGTCGGTCTCGTTTTTCGTTGACGGATAGCGCAAAACGTGAAATTACCGGGACGAATCTCATGCTATCCGCGGATCACCATGGATTCCTGGATGTACGACGTGGTAGGTGTTTCCGATTTCCGATACCTAACGTGCCTCTTCTTGGCTGAATCTCGTGGTTTTGTTTACGTTGCCACGCGCGCGGCCTCTCGCCTCCTTTCCGCTAATGTTAATCCATCGATTGGACATCAAACAAATTATCGTATCGATCATTTCGAAATGGGAACAGTTTAACGCTCGTACGCAAACTTTGCGTACACACGTCACAAGGAAAAATGTATTCCTCGCTCTTGCAATCAGACGGTATGCTTTTTCAATTAAAGAGTCGAATACATTTTTATTTCTTTGTTAGTTACGTGAAGGATTTATTCTGTTTTTTTACCGGTGGTGCATTTTCACGAATTGCTCGCGGATAGATTCTGTCCGCGACAGATTCGAGTTCGCTTGTTTTCCGATGCAACGAGAATACATACATATGTATGCATTATCTTTGTTCGTGTACAGTCAGTCAGCTTTAGCGACAACTTGGTTATTACGTTACGACGTGTCTGTTAGGTAATCTATCCTGTAACTCGCCGATCATTTTTCCACGCCTGCCGGTTTTTAACATTGATACTAGTGATTCGCGATCGCTTTGATTTTCTAATTTCCCGCTTCCCTCGATTATCAGTTCCAGCGTTATCGTTCCCAATGGAACGATTATATTTAAATAAATGTATATGGATAATCACTCATTATACGATGTTGATACATCGTTCTACCTCTTGGTCGTGTATTTATGTCGTTATCGAAAAAATTGTTTGTTTTGATGAAAGCGAAGCGTTAAACTGGAACGAATCTTAAGTTGAAAAACTTTTACCAAACATTGCTCGCATGCTTCACTATCTTGCCTCGAAATTACAATTTATTTTTGGAACGCGTGTCCAAAATACGGATAGTAACACCAGTTATAAATCGCGTTCTTATCCTTCGAACGTAAAAGAAATTATCTTCTATTCTGTTAAAAATATCATCAATTGTTCCGCGATAATAGATCATTTATTATTATCATCGGAAATAGATTAACGTCAATAGGTGAGCCGTTTAATTATGTTTATTCGCATAAGAGTAACTATGATTTCTTATATTCGACGGAACGCATTAAAAATGGTCTTATATACACTTACGCCCACGCGAATACTAGTCTTACGCAATTCCACGTGCGTAAACCTCACAGAAGAATGGAATCGCGCTCGGTTTACTTTCGATTTTATTGTACTTAACAATTGGAACGAGGCTCATTCCACAGATTGCGTTCGTACTGACACATTTCTGAATTCGATCGAATACTGATAATGCTCGCTCTTTTTAAAATAGATATTAGCTGATTTCTACTGCCACTAGCGATAATCCATCGTTAAATTCGACAGGATAAACGATTAATTGATAGGCAAACAACGTGATGGATGTAAAATCGTCGAATGGATAGATCGAAGAATATTTTCCAGACGTCTTGCCATATCTATATCAAAACGCATTTGCGCTTGTTCGTACATAGAGACGAGCCTTCTAATATAGATAGGTATGTGCACGCGCAACACGGAGACCTCGCTTTGACTTAATTCCTTTCGTTCCCATCTCGGTTACCGTATATACGCTACGAAATTACTCATGATATCTACGTGTGCTCACGTTCCTCCTATGCAAGTAAGCACGTATTTAGATTCGCTCTACGGCTGTGAGTACACCTATGAAAAGATATATTATAAGAAATGTCCTTTAGGGCGAATCGTGAGAATAATAACGGAGTTGAAGACAGAAGTTCGTCAATGAGCTACCGTGATTGCAAATTGTTCGCTGCGAGATGCAATGCATTCGATGGATGTAAAGAGGAACGAAAGCGTCGCGGTGTATCATCGGATATTTCGAACGGAGGATCATTCAAGTTTTCAGACTACAACACACGCGGCGATCATGTCAGCTCGGAGTTAGACGCCGGCCAGCGGGCCTAACCTTGGACAACGCGAAACAGTCGCGGAAATTCTCTTACGCGTGACTTTTTATTTGAAGGAAAGTGCACGTCCGTGCAACGTGATCCATTTCTGTTATCATATTTTCGCCCCTCCTCTTCCTCGTACAAATTAATTGCTGCTTTGCAACCGTGCGATCGCCGATAATCCGTTCCGAGTTCGTCTCGAATTACGTTTCAAGCTATAAAAAATAAGAAAAAGGAATCGATGCCTGTTTAAAAATATTTAGAAGCCGCGATCGAGAAATGATCGTCGTCGATGGAGGATCGGAAATCGGTGCGGAGTCACACGCGTTTCCTTTATTCCCATCGGATACGCTCGCCGCGAAATCGGAAAATAGTCGTTACCGGAGCTCTGGCCTTGACCGCGACCCAGGGTCTTCATCCTCGTAGAATCGATTCGGTTCTCTGTACATACTTCTAATTCCGCGACCACCCACGTGCGGCTATAATATTGTAACTCGGACTGAGCATTGTAATCATTCATGGTCGACGGCAATCGACTTGTTGCGAAATCGCGTCCACGCTTCGCCGATGCTTTTCATTTAGTGGAAATTTATCCGAAGGAAGTAAACATTCGTCGTAACCCGAGAGAATAAGATGGTGTCCGGTTCCTTTTCAGCATCTTCGGTCTCCCGCCAGGGTCTCGAGTTATCGGGAGAAGATATTGCGTAATCCGGGAACGCTTCCGCTCCGCGAGAGTATCGGTGAGCAACAAAAAATTGGGCGTGATTCAATCTCGATCGATCCTGGTTCGGCTTCTATCAACGATTCAGCCATTGAATTTTATCGCTTGGACCGACACTTTGCTTCTATTGTTTTGCCCAACGAGACCCCATGTTCCAAGTACCTTCGAATCGATATAAAAGATTACAGATTTATAAGAAGCGCGTCGGTTTCTCTTCCTTACTTTCTGCTACTGACGATACGTAATTACGATCGGTACTAAAAGGAAAGTAAGCAACGACTTAAACTTCGTTGGCTCACATAATCGACCCGTTTAATAACAAGTTTGCCAAGTATCGTTAGCGTACCTTGAAAATTTCGACGTCCACGCGGTTCTATACCGACTGTCCAAAGAAGAGCTGCGACTTATTCTATACCAATGAAGTCGTTCCACGTCTGGGCTACGTTGTCCTGTTGATTGACTCCCCGTTTAAAAGTTACGATAGGCCGTGTCTACGTACGGGACACAGGATTGCCGTTTGGTATCGAGCGCCGTTGAATAATGAATGAAATCGTTACCGAGACATCTTTGATCATAATTAACCGTATTATCACGATGGAAATAAAATTACAGCTAACCAACGTGTAATCGATATTCAGGTCACGGCCTCTTCTAAAAATGGATGTGCCTCGATTACGAGCTTCGCTTTCCTTTTCTCTCCGTTGTCTCGCGTATGCGTGTACACGCCAAAAAAATACGAAAACCAACGGGAAGAAGACCTTGATCTACCGTCGTAGAATGATGTGTCGCGGGTCTCAAGGTATGCGGGTTTTAAGGATTCGACTTCGGAATGCATCGATATCATCGGGCGCGATCGCAGATAGTAGAAGAATTCGCAGATGTCTTTTCCGGCCTGCATCCGGATTTATGTCAGGATACTTTCCTCGGTTAGGAGGTTTTGCCGTGCGTACATAGAAAGGAACAGCCTCTCGAGGAGGAGCATTTGAACTCGAGGAAGTCGAAACGGAGCAGATACATAAAGATACATGAAAGGGAGGACCAAAAGAAACTGACTGACGATTAGAGAGAGAGACGAGGTAACGTACGACCGTGACAAGAGGAATCGTGTCGGGGGATAGAACGAGGGAGAGAGAAACGAGTCAGACGGAGGAACTCAAGGTCGCCAAAGTCGGCTGTTTCCGTCCGAGTTCGGCGGCTAAAATTGTGTGTTGGCGCGGTTCTGGTGGCCTTCGCGAACGTGGTCGCCTCTCTCGCAGAAAAGTCAAGTTCAAGGCCAACCAGATACCGAGGCAACACGCTCGTCATTCCCTCTTTCTTTTTCCATTCCGCGCCTCTTCCTTCCGTCTGCGTTTCGGTAACCGCTTAATCGAACGGATTACGGAGAGAGAGACCCGACGAGACGCCAAGAGAAAATGAGAATCGCCAGTGACTCGGTGGAGTCCGAGCCCCGAGAGATGCGCTTACGCAATTCTTCTTCTCTCTCCTTTGTCTCTCTCCGGACTTTCTTTTTTAATCGACCGCGTGCCTCTTCCTCCCTTCATAGCTTCGATCCAACGCATTTCTCATTCCTCATAACTTGGAACAGTACTTCTCATTTAATTAATCTGAATATGGAAGACTATTCAAATTCGAGACTTTGCCGTTTCCTTACTCGCGCGAATCATGAATCGAGAATAAGGGGAGCACACGAAGTCGTCCTCGATGACGATCGATAAGGGTTCCCTGGAAGATGGATCACGTCCGAGAGGCGCATGAATCTCCAGACTGACATGAGACACAAGTCCGGCACTCGCAAACGATCGTAACTGCATCACGCAGAAAAGTCAAGTTCAAGGCTAACCAGATACTTCGCGTTTCTTCCTCTTCCCTTCGGACCCCTTTCTGCGTGCATTTAATATACGACACGGAGGAGGAATGGACTTACGCAATCTTTTCACCGTTACTTTGTTCATCATCGCCGTCGTCGTACTTACTGTTCGTTTGAACTTGTCAGATTTTCCGCCACTCGTTCCTGCGAGCCAATCGATTAAGCCACGATTCTCGGAGTTTTTACTTTGATTAAAAAAAATCGGGAAATAGGATACCCGGTTTGTAAAACGATCAGAAAGCGAGAGTCGGCGGAATTTCGTCAAGCTGAAAGGTCTCCCGTTGGTATTTCGAGAACACATCGTATCGCGAATTTTCTGAAGTCAATTCTAAAAATGTGCGAGGCGTTGGTCGGTCTTAAAAATAGCTGCAGAAAAAAATGCAGTTGACTGCAAAGCGGACTGTCTCCTTCGGATTTCGGTGCGGCTTGCCGCTCGGCTGTTTTAAAAAGAAACGAACACGATCGTAAGATCTTCGTTTTGATTGTTTCCAGGTTTATATGATGCCCGGTGGTTGCACCGAAAATATGATCGGGAACAACAGGACCATGGCGAATAACATCAAACAGGAGATCGAGAATCCCACGACGCCAACGCAAAACTACCAAGTTTGTTCACCGACCACCACGCTTCAACATCAAGAGGTATATTTCGGAGGGGTCTGGTTTTAAAGCCGGAGTTCAGGAAAACCGATTTTATTTCAGGTGATATGTAATAAAATTGAGGTACCACCCGATTACGGCGGAGGCGGTGGCAGTCCTAGTAGTCCAGAGATGCACCACTGCTCATCGACTACGCAGCCCTTAGGTACACCCGAGGTATATAACCAGAAATTTAACACGTTGATCGAACAAGGCATTTCCTCGAGTTCAATGTTTCACGTCTCGTTTAATTTAGGAGGGTGTCAAAGAAGAGGATATGATTCCGAGAAGGCTATGTCTGGTTTGCGGGGACGTAGCCAGCGGATTTCATTACGGCGTCGCCTCCTGTGAAGCGTGCAAAGCTTTCTTCAAGAGGACCATACAAGGTACGTGGAGTTCCTCCGCGCTGTTGTAAATATTTCGTCTGCGTGTTTTCCAGGTAGCACCACTGAATTTTGTAATTGTACGAGATCATTCATCTTTGAAACTATCATGAAACTAACGCTCGGTGCTACCTGGAAGAGAACCATGTATATTACAATAAAATAGCGAGTAATTTCACAGGTAACATTGAGTATACGTGTCCGGCGAACGGGGAATGCGAGATAAACAAACGGAGAAGGAAAGCTTGCCAGGCGTGTAGGTTCCAAAAGTGCCTGAGACAAGGCATGCTCAAGGAAGGAGTTCGGCTGGATCGTGTCCGAGGGGGTAGGCAAAAGTACAGGAGATCCGCCGACCCCTACACCGCTGTCGTGAAGGCAGCTCCGTTGGAAGGTGACTTTCTTTTGCTGTCTTTTGTTTACAAATATCCTATCGCGACGGCACGTGTATAGATATAGGCACGCGTACCGACAGACAGGATCAAAAGTGAGTTTAATATTGGATGTTGTTTCTAGCAAACGTAGCGACGGGAGCTTCTAACGAAATAATGAGTAAGCTATTGGCTCGTCATACTTTATTCCAATTGTTAATAGATCTGATCGGTGTTAGACGAAATTATTACACGTAGTAGCGTATTCGTACGCATGGATCGAACTCTGTGCAATGAACCGTTTCATTTATTGGCAGATAACAAAATGCTGGAAGCTTTAGCTGCCTGCGAACCTGACATGCTCCAAGTCTCCAATCTCTCGCATACTCTCGATACGGACCAGAGAGTTCTCGGCCAATTATCCGATTTGTACGATCGGGAATTAGTTGGAATAATCGGTAATTTTCAGTAACAATGCTCCAATTTAAAAAGCGATCAAGAAATTTAATGTTGATAATTATTTGTTCGAAGGTTGGGCGAAACAAATTCCCGGATTTAGTAGTTTAGCCCTAAACGACCAAATGCGACTTCTCCAAAGCACATGGGCCGAGATACTAACGTTTAGCTTAGCCTGGCGGAGTATACCAAATAACGGTAGATTAAGATTCGCCCAAGACTTTACTCTGGATGAAAGATTGGCACGTGAATGCCATTGTACAGAATTATATACACATGTAAGTATTGTTTAATCGTTAAATACGTCTGTAATTAATTTGTCATTATATTTATGTATGCAATTCCTTTCGTTGAGCAGTGTATGCAGATCGTCGAGAGGCTGCAGAGATTGGGCTTGACCAGGGAAGAGTATTTCGTGTTGAAGGCACTGATATTGGCGAACAGCGACGCGAGATCGGACGAGCCGCAAGCGCTGTACTGTTTCCGAGACGTTATCCTGAACTCGTTGTCGGACTGTGTGGCGACAGTAAGACCGGGACAAACGCTTCGCGCCATGCAGAATATGTTCCTAGTGTTACCCAGCCTTAGACAAGTCGATGGGATCGTGCGAAGATTCTGGTCGAGTGTTTACCGAACGGGGAAAGTACCGATGAACAAGCTATTCGTAGAGATGTTAGAAGCCGCTTACTATCGATGAAATTCCGACTTGAACCCGATCGAGGACGTTGAGAACTTCGTGAAGAGTCGCTGTTGCTAAATTAGTACCGGCGCGTTACGTTAACACGCTTTCTGGCGTGGATCCTTGAAGAATACGCGCGGGAGCCAGTGAGTGATAGTGAGAAAGAGTAACTGTGTGCAGTTTTAAATTCCTAAAGAGGATGCGAAGATAGAGGAGAGAAAGGGCTTTATTTTTCAAAACGCGAAAAGTTTTTGGAGTCGCGCGAAGCGGAGTTTTGGGCCAGCCGATGATTTCAACAGTCGTCGGAAGTTCGCGACACACACACACACACACACCGTTTAAGAATAGCAGCCACGCTCGTTTCGTCGAAGTAACCAAACTTTCCTTTTCGTGTACCCCTTTTACAGGTACAGAGAAAAACGGATGTTATTTCAGGATAGGATACGTAGTACAAGACGCGAGATGCTTTTTTTCCAGAGCTCTCATCCTTAGAGTTATTTACGACAAACCTGTCCGCGCCGGACAGATGAACCTACCAAATAAATAACAAATAAATAAACGGAAAAAGATTTTCATTTACGTAACGATCGGCGTACGATCGCGAAACACCAAACCGGTGATATCGTAGAAATCAAATACGATTGTACTAACTGTGGGTGTTTGACGTCGTAGAGTTAGTCCGTGTTACCAAGTACTACCAGTTTTAATCAAAATTACGTGTAGTACATTACGATTCGGACAATTACCTTAGTTATACCTTTTTCTCCGAAACAAAAAAAGGAATCCAGTCAATTTCGAAGCTAGAGCAACGCGGACTCTATATTTTTAATAGCGTCGATGAAAAAGAGAAGGATGAAACCGTTTTGTATAGAGTAACTGCACGTTTTAATATTATTGAGTGTAAAAGATCAATGTGAAATCGATGTGTGTATACTGCATTGAACATCCATAGTTGTATAGTTGAGCGGAATGAATTTAGCATGTGCCGTTGTACATACAAATTGAATCAACGCGAACAGAGCTGTGAACAGTGAAACAAAAATTGATAGAATGGCTGGATCGTTCTTTAATTAGCGCCATGCTGACTTTGTACAAGGTAGATATTCGCGAGAAAAGAAAATAATGTTTCGAAAGCGGACCTACGGCCAGGTTGCCAGGTTCTTATGTGGAGCGAAAGGAGATATGAAATTTAATCGATTGTTGAAATGATTGCGAAATGTTATTCGCGCGTGCCACACAGAGAGCGTAGGTGAATATATATTATATTATTATATTATTATATTATATGTATTCAGGGATCTTTATTATCTAGTTATTATTGTTAACGAGATCTGGCGTGCACAGATCTTGCGCATAATGTCGCTTTTTTTTTTAAAGCGAGCGTATAATATACGTGTAGGAGCTACTATTCACGCGAGAGAAAAATGTTTACTTTTTTTTTCTAACGAGGAGAAACCGTTTCAGACGAACGAATTGAATTTCTTTTTGTTTGACCGATTGTCCGCGACGAGGCTCGGCTTCCAATGGATCAGTCCTCGACGTTTATTTCATATTGTACAAAAGGTGAAAAAGAAAAGTTAAAAATGAATTTTTAAGTTTTACAAGAGCTGCTGCGCTCGGAACAATGTCATCTCGAGTCGCGACGTGATTAACGCAATCAGAGTGCAATAACGTCGGAACATCGATTACTTTTTTAGTTCTCTGTACATGAAGATACTTCGTGTTTGTTTTATTTCTAAACTTTGTTGAATCCTCCTGCATTTAAATACACACACGTTTCAAAATAGTTAACAGTGACGCTTAAGTCGTATGCATTGCGTGCCCTTCCTCAATTAGTTTTTCTCGATTACCGAGAGCGGCTCGTTCCTCGCTGCAACGAACGGGGAAGAAATTGGGAAGAAGAATATGGCTGTTAAGCCACGGCGAATTTTTGTTTCACGCCTCTTCGACACTCTCTTTATTTCGTTTTTACTTTTAAATCAATTCATCACGGAATCGTGTTCGCTACACTGCCTATCAGGTTGTAAAGTCATTAGAAAATGATCTTTCTGGTCGGACATCGTTATGAGAAGTGATCATCGATTGATAATATCGTCTGTCTAATCATTGGAAACACTTGTTTCGCACGTTCATTCTCGGACACGACGACATTATCAATATCGCACAAAATACGAGTTGTTAGAGTCGTGCATTAATAGAGACCGAGCGAGCCTCACAGTTCTACAATACCTGTTCCATTTCCGTAAGATAAGCGATCACCCTATTTGCGTTCCAACAGATACATAAGAGGAAGTCTTTTCTTTTAAGAATTCATATTCAAAAATGTATAATATCAATTCGACAGTTTTTTAATCGAGACATGCTGTTCTGAGGTGGAGAGGGCCCGTGCAAATACAAAAATGGCCTAAAGATGTGTCGGTTCGATTTTTTGTTACCATTTAACATTTCATAGAAGCGAAAGGTTCATTCTCTGGTGTGTGCTGCGCGATGAAAGAGAACTAGAGCCAAAAGAACATTTTTACTCGGCAGATTGGACGTCTCAAATGTAGTTTGTTACAAGCATTTTCTTCATGATACATAATGTATATTTGTCGATTCGCCGTGGCGGTAGAATCGTGGTCTCAGGGTTTCAATAAAACAACCAACGTAAACAAACGATACAAATTTAGATACATATAAAATAGCTAAGCGCGCGATTATATTTGTGAAACAAAATATAATATAATAACAATAGTAATAAAGATGAGGATGATTAATGATAATAATAACAAATGAATATTATGTATTAATATCGATACGATGGCAATGATGATAATAAAGATAACGACGACGAGATACATCCGACGTTTCCGTGTTTGCTTTGCGTGAACGAGGGTAAAATTACATTCGTCTTCCTTTCCCCGAGAGAGAATTCGTGGATGCATCACGTGTACACGGTTTAAACGAATCGAGAGAATTTGCAGCAACAAATTCGACCGCGAATACCTCCCCGTACCTTTTTTGCCACGCGAAACGTGCGCGCCTTAAGAAAGATGACAAATGGATCGTAAAACGTTCCATATATCACGGCAAACAGCGTTTAACAGAGTGCAGGCTCGTTCCTCTTGAAAACTATCGACGATCCCTCTTTCTCCGTTCGCAAACTTATTCGCAGACCGGTTATAGAACTTCTGTTTACCTCGCGAATTCCGATCGTTAACAACCCGTGAATAGGCACGTCTGATTCTATTTCTCTACGAGGTAACGAGGTGATCGTAATTGTTCGATAAAGTATAAAACAGCTCCGGAGAATTCGTCGCGTAGAGAAAAATTCGTCACCGTGTTTGGAATTATGCCGACTCGAACGAAATCGAATCATATATTGCTTACACATGCGGGCTCAGTTGTCGTAGCGATCATGTCGCGAGAAGTAGCGTTTCTCTTCCTGTTAATCTCTTTCCTCTTCACGTTCTCCAGTAAGTGCTGTTCTCTATAATGCACGATTCGTGGCGAAGTCGAACGTATTTCTCTTTTACCAGAAGCGGGTCCGGAAAACTGTTTGGAGTTCGACATCGGACAGCTCGAGGATTATCTGTCTCAGCTGGATTTCGAGAATGTCCCGACGATCAGTATGATGATCGGTGGATTCAAATGCCCAGTCACGGCTTTGCCCTTCGGCGCCCTGAAATCCGACTGGGCGAGGCTGTTGCTTCTGCAAAATGCGCAACCGAGGCAATCAATTCTCTCCGAGAAACTGGGTCGACTTTTGAGAATCTTGACGACGGCCTATTTCCAAATGGAAGAGCGATTCGACGTCGATACGAGGTTCGTAGGAAAAATTTTACGGAACATCGCGTTTTTAATCAGTAATTACTTTGCTAGCTCAGGACCAAACGCAACAGCCAGGGTTAATAGAAAGACGAATGAAATTTTAACGACTCCTATTATCGTTCGTAATAATAGTGTCAGTACTGTAACACTTGATATTCTATCGACTACTTTTGCACCTTCGCTTGCTAATACCCAGACGGCGAATGAAATCGAAGGAACTACGGTCAGAAGTTTTAATCAAACTCCCACTAATCGGATTAAAATAAAGAAACTGCCGATCGACCGAAAAATTCCATTAGGCAACGAATTTTTGAGATACATTATAGCACCGCCGAAGCTCACTACGTTCACACCCGTGATGGAAAAGGGATTTATCAAAGGACGGTCCAAGAAGCGTGGGAGTTCGAATACAGACATACAAAAGAATTTTAGGTGGTTCTATAATTTCGCGCACGAGAATGCGAATCATCCCAGGTATAACTCGATTTTTAAATAAACTCCTGCGTTCACCGTTGATCTTTAAACATTTCTGTCTAATTCCAGTAATAATCTTCAAGAAATCGATATCAGATGCGCCGGTAGAAAAAGCAACGACAAATAATAATCTTTCATTGTGCAGATAAAAAGTATCTTTGAATAAAATTACTTAAACCTTGACTCGTGTTTCATCATTCGATATCGCGCGAGGCGAGTCTATAAATTCATAAGTCTGGATACCTCGACTGATATTTACGAGGCTCCCAGCTGGTAACGTTCGTCGTGGTTTACGATCTCCCATAAACGAATCCCCTTATTATCCAATCCACGGTATAGGATTTTCCGAATTGTCTGCGAGAATAGTCGATGCAATTTTAAGCAACGGCGACAGATGGTCGCTTTAGCGATCCGCTGGAAATTGTACGGGGGAAAAAGTGATACGAGCTGTTTAAAATGTTGATCGCTATGCGGGCGGGACGGAGAGAGGGATGGAAATGGTTGGCGTCGAGTTCATGATTGGCTTTACGCAAACTATCGGGAACTCCGTTGGTTTAATAACGATTTTTCGCGATAGCGGGATGGCCGATCGGCTTCATTTGCAACGATAGCGTATCAACGATCCGTGGTTAATAACCATTCGAAGATATACGGAATAAATAGGCGCATGTTCAATCAATGCGTATCTCATTCAAAATTATTATTAAAATATCCATCGATTGTACTGTTAATTCGTTCGAATTACAAGCTGCAAGAACACAGCAGATAGCCAGAGGTGTTATACGTGTACATTTATACACATATTTTTATTAGAGGGATCAAAAGACTTTTTGACCAGCTTTGTTCGTGAAGTTATAACGCGCATTGTTTCCTTTTACCTGTACAAAAGGGAACAATTCGAGCGAGACACCGAACGCCGAATTAGATATCGCGAGAGTTCTTTCGGATCTGAGGCTCTCATTGTTTTCCATTGTTTCCACAGCTTTCATTCTCCTTAATATTAGAAATTCAATAATAGAAATTCATTAACGAGCATTCTGTAATTTAAATTCATAATGCAACGAGTTACTTCGAAACTGCGATATCTGTTCGGAGCGAACATCCCTTTTCTTCACGTTTACAGCGGCGAACAACGGATTGATTAAACCTCCTTTTCGTCGAATGCATTGGTATTTATTTGTTTAATTACACGCACATCGTCAGCTCGGACAGCGGGATTATCGTTTGTTTCCCTCCCCGACTATAATCGAACCGTGGCTGCCGCGAGGCGCTTCTTTGCCAGGCAACAAAGCAAGCCACATTTATTACAGTCAACAATTTCGCCGTCTCTGGAACGGATTAGCGGTACATCGCTCCTTCCGAGGAAACAAATCACCCACCTTTCCCGAGACGCTCCTCGAACAGAGTATTCGTGATTTCTCTCTGCACCTGCCTTTTCCAATTTCTCACGAGTACGCTCCAAGCTTTGACGCGCGGAGAGGTAATCGCATTAATTATCTCGCGTGTAAACGTCAAAATAGTTTTAAATAATTTGTCAACTCACCGGTTTTCAGAGACACGTTAATTTGCTCATTAGTTATCATTTCTCCGCGATTAGCCTCGTCCGTCGAATTAGCCGTTCCCGGGGATGAAAACAAATTATCCGGTACCGGGAGGAACGCGACTTCGAGGGGTTCGCTCGATCGTGCTAGTTTCACGGCGTTCGTGTCGGGAATACGGAAATGCTAGAACTCTCGTCTCAGGTCTGACCGTTCGTCAGGATTACTTTAGCTCCTGGAGAAGCTTCTCCGCAGCGCTGGTAGAGCAAGCAACGTCGCCGCGCCGCGCTAGCTTACAGAAATCATTTAAACTGGAGGAGTGCCGCGAGCAGATGGAGAGACGCTCGGTAATTATTTTACCGACGAAAACTAAGAAATGAGAGAATGCAGCCTGCCCCTTCGTCTTTTCATCCAGTCATACCACCACCACGATCACCGCTGCCGACCACCGCGGGCTCCACGCTAATTCTTACTAATTGGTTGCATTACCTTCATTTCATTCACCTGCCGCGAGTTTTCCATTATCCTCTCGGAAACCGTCTTGATAACTTCTATACTTTTGATTTCATTCGATTCACCTCTCCCGATATTCTATTCGGTTGAATAAGGATGTTCTTTGTAAAAGAAACTGTGCAAAAGTCGATCGAGGGCGAGTTAAAGATTGAGGAGGGGCGGGTGCGTGAGGAAGCGTCGGACTGTCGGCGGATGTTCTTTTGCGAGTGAGTGTAATCATCTTTGCTGGATGTCGTCCGCGGAAATCCATTCCCGTCACGTCGAGACAAACGGGCGCAGTTGACTCTCCATCTAAATTTGCTTCCCTCCCTTTCGTTCCTCCGCAGTCCGAAGCCCGGCCTCCTCTCCCTCGCACGGATAAGAAATGAAATTAAAATTCTCGAGGAGACTGAAACGTCACGTTCCGCGTCGACTGTCTCATCTCGTACAGCGGATCGTGAAAGGGAGCCCGATCGCATTCGTGTGTCCACATATAGAAGAAGATAAAACACCCCGCGATTCTCAGATCTCTCTTTCGATCCGGAACGAGTCGAAAAGCAACGCGCGGCGTTTAATTGTTCTAGAAAATTTTTGCGAAAATTGGTACTTGCCACTCGTCGAATGCCAATGTGGATAAAGCGAGATCCGCGAGAGCAGTTAGGGGATTGGTGAAGTGCGGTGACTGGTTAATTGGAATTGGCAGCAAACTTGACTTCCCCGGCGTTCGCAAGCATCGATGAAATTGCAGCAATCGTCGAGCGGTTCGATCGAGTTCGTCCTTCGTTACGTCTATCCTTTGCCTGTCTCTTTTCGTTCAGCGACTCAATCTTCCGCCATCGATTCACGAATTCGATTCATGATCAGAGACGGTCTAAGTACATAATTATTGCTGCGAGATTGATTATGCGACAGCTGCCTTTCACCCTTTGTCCCTATTCGAATATTCCTCTCGCCTGGAACGTTCTCTCCCAATGGGGACTATCTATGCAAACTCATGGAATGCGGTCCCAATAATTAATCACCGTCGGTTGTTTTTACGGAAGGGTATAAAAGGAATTACTTACGCGCCTGGGGAGTGAAAAGTTGTGGAAAACGAATGGGATTTTACCTTTCTTTACAATTAAATCTGACATTCCGACGGTTTTTAAATCGGTCGTCGTCGCGTGAACATTTTCTAGCTATAAATTTATTCCTACGTCACAGTTCGTTCATTCCTCGAATTCCATGCGAATTTTCCCCAGGCTGCATCGTAGACGATAAGGAAAAGATGTCCAATTATGCTTATTTCATCCAGACGCGCCATTATATTGTTCACAGATACTTCATAACGTCTCGATACTCCATAGCGACGACGCGTCGCTCCGCCAACGGAGCGCAATTACTGGGCGGAGAGCGATCTTGCAACGTCTTCGGCGATCTCACTTCGTCGCGCCGACGCGACGTTAGTATCTAAGTCAGTGCTATTCGAGAGAGAACGTTTCGTTTCTCGCTTGCATGCCGATACCGAGCAGAGAGCCAAGTCAGCTGGAACTTCACCATGGATATACAGTGTCTCGTAACGTGGAGAACGATATTTGAGTATTTAATTGCGTCGAGCACTCGTCGCGTGACCGTCTCATCGTTCCTTAAACGGTATCTCATCGTGAGGCTCTACCCGAACCGTAGAACATAAGTAGAACGATCGCGTTAATCGCTTCTATCGTTTGCGGGCGCCGAACGGGCCACCCTATACAAACTGTGGGACGCGCGTACAGGTACGACTGCGAATTGTGGACATAGGTGCTAGGTGGCCTCGTCCTCCGTACGATGCCTTGCAATTTCGCCCGATTACGGTAGTGCTCTTTCAATTTGCACGAGAAGTTTGCTGGCAGCGTTTGTCGTCGTTCGTCGATCGACAAGTCGCTCGGTTCAGATGTTGGCCGCCGGGAACGAGACGATTAATTGGGAAAGGAAAATTTCGCGTCGCCGGGAACGAAACGGCCGATCGATATAATCGAGAGACACGGGGGGACGCGTTCACGGAAGACAGGTCATCTTAATCACCGATTCGTCACTCGCCATTGCCCCTCGAGGCAATCGCGCGTGAACCGAACCTGATAGACGATAGATCGCCGATTCTGACGCGTAAATAGGCATCCGCGAATTCGCCACGCGCGTACACCTAAATACCTTCGTTGGACCCTACCTCGGTGCTGGATGCCAGAAGTTAAACCCGAGCGAGCTGATATTGATAACGACCCTTAAATCATCCTACGCCACGCGCCGTTCGCTTCGGGATTACCGATCCCCTCAAAATCTTATAAACGCATAAATCTTATAAAAAATTAATTGGCACACGCGCTTCATTCGGAATGTCTTTAATCTTTTTGAAACTCATAGAGGATTCAACTGCTCGCGTTAGAGAAGAATCGCTTGAAACAGTGAAACGAAAAAATTCCTGATGGAAGCTGTTTTCAGTTTGGGAGCATACGATTTGGAGAGAGTAGTTTAAGCGACGGAGAGGAAGGATCGGCTACGGCTACTCTCTTGCAGAGAGGGGCGCGTTGGCCCGTGAACTCGCCGATAACGCAGAATTATAGTCTGCCAGAGGCCACCCTTTTCGAGGCAAGCTACGTGGTATGTACCCGCGCTTACGAAACGCCTATCGCCGCGTGTACCGAGGCGTGAGGCAGTCGAGCGGTTTCCACGCATGTATCATTCCGTGCCTCTCCAACCCCATTTCTAGCTTTTCTCGAATCGCGTGCACCGGACCACCGCGATCCTCTTTACAATAAAGTCAAACGGGATAAAGGTGGATCAACGCGTCCGAGAAAAAAGGGGGATGAATTCGATTTCAATCGCGAAGGGGACGAAGCCGCGGTTCACCGTTTTCAACGGTCTCTCATGCCCGGTGCAAGAGCATCGAATTAAAATCTACCTACGAAGGGATAATGAGCCGGAAGCTGGCGACAAAAAAGCTGCGGATTCCGGAGGATTTTCTCCGGGGCAATTTGCTCGCTCTTTCGCTCGCAGTTTCGCAACATCGCCCGATTAGATTATCCACTTGCGAATTCTCTACTTTAACCCGTCCCACTCGTAGTCCGAACGATATCCCCGGCTAATCGTTCGCATCCGATCATAATCGGAAGAATTTCTAATTCGCGGTACTCGATTTTCATGTCCGAGGCTATCGATACATCTTTACTAGGTAAATTTGCCGGAAATTTTAATCGCGAATCAGAGTAATGGTAGCTCGTTTCCGCGAAGCCGGCCGAAGGTAGATACCGCGGCGTTACATGCATTTCGCTTTGAATAGTTATACTTTTCCGACTTGCAGATAGCATCGTCGCGTTAACGCGAACGTGACGTTTTCCGAGGAAATTAAATGGAGAGCCGTGGCGCGGTTTGCCAAATAACACCAGCTATAATTACCTACCTTCATTTAGGAAGAGAACCTGGTTGCCGGGTTTTAAGAAGCTATACCGTGAGAGCCGGTATCGAATCACCCATCTGCTTGCTCTTGATATTAAACCGGTCCCGCATGATTTTGAGCAAGAATTTCGTTACTTCGTATGACTCGATTGGCCTGCGGACGAAAGTGGTCGACGGGAAGAAGCGAGAAAATGCGTCCACTCGAAATTT